CTTCCCTTCTATTGTTCGAGCAGAAAAAAAAAAAGAGGAATGGGAGATGGCGGGCAGTGGGAGGTGGCGGGCAGTAGGATATGATGGAGGAGGAGGACGAGGAGGAGGAAGAAGAAGAAGAAGACGAGAGGAGGAGGAGGAGGGGAGGAAGGAGGAGGAAAGGAGGAGGGGAAAGAAGAAGCAGACTTCAAAAAAAAAGACGAGAGTAGGAGGTGGAGGAGGAGGAGAAGAACAAGGAGGAGGAGGAGGGTGAGGAGCTGCCAGTTCTGTATGGTGATGACGAGGAAAAAAAAAAAGGCCGCTGGAGGAGGAGGAGGAGGAGGAGAGAAGAGAAAAGAGAAGACGAAATGAGGAGGAAGAGGAGGAGGAAGAGGAGGCGGAAAAGAAGAAGACAAGAGGAGGAGGAGGAGGAGGAGGAGGAGGGAAAACAAGAAGACGAAATGAGGAGGAGAGAAGAAGAAGAAGAAGAAGACGAGAGGTGGAGGAGGAGGAGGAGAGAAGAAGAAGGTGAAATGAGGATGAAGAAGAGTGAAGAAGAAGACGACAAGAGGAGGTGGAGGAGGAGGAGAGAAAAAGAAAAAGACGAGAGGAGGAGGAGGAGGAGGAGCTGCTGATTGTCTGGCGATGACAAGGGGGAAAAAAAATGCCGATGGAGGAGGAGGGGTGAAAACAATAAGACGAAATGAGGAAGAGGAGGAGAGAAGAAGAAGAAGACAAGAGGAGGAGGAGGAGGAGGGGAGGAGGAGGAGGGGAGAAGAAGAAGAAGACGAGAGGAGGAGGAAGAGAGAAAAGAAGACGAAATGAGGAGGAGAGAAGAAGAAGAGCGGAGGAGGAGGAGGAGAGAAGAAGACGAAATGAGGACGATGAGGAAGAGGAGCGAAGAAGACGAAGACGAGAGGAGGAGGACCAGAGAAAGAGAAGACGAGGAGGAGGAGGGGGGAGAGGAGGAGAGAAGAGAAGAAGACGAAATGAGGAGGAAGAGGAGAGGAGAAGAAGAAGGCGAGAGTAGGAGGTGGAGGAGGAAGGGAAAAGAGGAGACGAAATGAGGAGGAGAGAAGAAGAAGAAGAAGATGAGAGGAGGAGAGAAAAGAAGTGAGGAGCAGGAGGAGTGAAGAAGAAGAAGATGAGAGGAGGAGAGAAAAGAAGTGAGGAGCAAGAGGAGTGAAGAAGAAGAAGATGAGAGGAGGAGAGAAAAGAAGTGAGGAGCAAGAGGAGTGAAGAAGAAGAAGAAGACGAGAGGAGGAGAGAAGAAGAAGACGACGAGAGGAGGAGGAGGAGAGAAGAGAAGATGAAATGAGGAGGAAGAGGAGGACAGGAGGAGAAGAGAGCAGAGGAGGACGAGGAGGTGCCAGTTGTGTCTGGCGATGACGAGGGAAAAAAAAAGAAAAGGCTGATGGAGGAGGGAAAACAAGAAAATGAAATGAGGAGGAGAGAAGAAGACGAAGACGAGAGGAGGAGGAGGAGGAGAGAAAAGAAGAGGAAATGAGGAGAGAAAAGAAGATGAAATGAGGAGAGAAGAAGAAGAAGAGGAGAGGAGGAGGAGGAGGAGGAGTGAAGAAGATGAAGAAGACCAGAGGAGGAGGAGGTCGGCTGCACGCGAGGAGGAGGTGGAGGTCGGCACCTCGACCATGGGTAGATAGACTACGTGGAATGTCGACGACGGGTGTGATCGGAGCTCCGCACGAGGAGGAGGAGGCGGTCGGCACCTCGATGATGGGCAGGTTGACAACGTTGTGGCAGCTCGACGACGGACAGCACGATGCGAGCTCCGCGCGAGGAGGAGGAGGAGGTCAGCTCCGCGTGGAGGGCACCTGGATGATGACGGGGCAGGGGCAGCTCGATGACGACGGCTGGGCTTCGAACTTCGTCGGCGGGAAGGACAATCCCCCGTTCGAATTTGAATGCGGGATCGTAGCCCTAAAAACTTCGAAAGTGGCTGAAAGTCGTTAAAAAAAAAAAAATTCAAGCAATAGGCGGCTGGGAAGGCTGCCACTGGCCGAAAAAAGCCTCCCCTCCACCGCGCGCGAAATTGGGCTGGGCCCGCCCGGCGCCCAACAGGGTGACCTAACCGGCCGGGCTGCCCGGGATCCCTACCGGACGAAGGTCAGGCTGCCGGGCGGTCCGGACTTTAACGCAGGGAATAATATTATAATAGCGATAATTTGGCCCATACGAAGGTTCTGATGAATGAAATGTGCACTTCGTAAGTTTTTAGAGCATTAAAAAAAGTGGGACGGAGCAAGATTTGTTATATGCCACTGGATGACCCCATATCTGTCAGATGACGAATTAGAAATGATGTAGTAGTGAAATTTTAACCTCATACAAAAGGGTCTGATGGATGGAATATGTTGAATGTTCTTCTCGTGTGTCTCAGAGCATCAAAAGAAGTGGGAGGGAGGACGCACTCATTGCAAGATTCGTTTATTCGCCACTGGATGAGCCATTTGACTGGAAACTCAATGCTGCAATTGCTCCGTGTTACATTACGGTGAGTCCGCCTGTCAACTGCACTGGGGACTATAAACGACGTCGATGAAGAAACGATGGTGGGGTAGCTGAAGACCCAAGTTTGCTGTTGTCTTTATTTTTGTTGTATCGTCTGGAGCTGTCCTTCTTTTAGACTCGGCCCCCTCTCCAACCTTAGATTGCAGTAGATCAGAGGCAGGGTTTTCTCTCACGGCACATTCACAGTAGGACCTTTTGTACTGAATCTGGTAAGCATCGTTGTCAAATGCATCCGGAAATTATCACGTCAGAACGACCTTGATTCCGTAGAGTTTTGTTGGATATTTCAACCTGCCCCTTCCCCTGTCTGTCTGTTACATGCTGAAAGCCTACACACAGGCCCCTCACGGGACCCGAGGTTGGAATAGGGCCCCCAGGTCGCGTCACCGCAACCTGAAGGCCCTATGGCATTTTTACTTGGGCCTGCATCAGAAAAACGCCAGCTTTAGATTATTTTTATAGTCTTTAATTATATTTATTTGCTGCTGTTTTTCTAACGGGTGTACTGTTGTCCGTTTTGTGGCCAGGTACACGCTTCTAGGGCCAGGGCCAGATTCAGGCCCAGAGGCTGAGCTCCTAAAAACGTTTGGACCTTTTCTTTTGTTTTCGAACAGATTTTGACCTGTTCGAACCCAGGCCG